TGTTAATGAGTTAATAAGAAAAGTATAACGGAGAAAATCTCACCTGGAATACTATGTACTATGCCGGACAAAAAAAATGGGACATGGCCATTGCGTAAAACGGGCATTATGACGTTTTGAAACGTCAAATCTAACATTAAAGTATGCTTTAGAGTGAAAGTGTCAAATATTTGTTGCAAAATTGAAAAAAAAATTCGAAAAACCCTACATCTGCCAAATCGATCACCCCCAACAACCACAACCACCACCACATGGTAACATATTTTGGGCACAGGGTGTGCTAACTAACTTTGTTAATGCAGCGTCACAAAAGTGACCATTACTCGCTTTGCTGCGCTTTTAATAATAATAATAGAATATTGTAATAATAACAATAATAATAATAATAAAAATGAGTATTCGGGTCTACTAATCGTTGCATGTTTCGGGTATGCGAAGATATGGATGTGCGGAGGCACCTTGGAAATATCCACGTGTTCCCATGTTGGACACGTGTTTCGCAAATCAACTCCATACTCATTTCCGGGTGGAACGAGCCGAATTGTCAACCACAACAATGCACGTCTTGCTGAAGTTTGGCTCGACCAATGGAAGGATTTCTACTATAACATTAACCCAGGTTAACCCTCAACGCCACCTACTTCCTAACAATTTTTATGTTTCGTTTTTTACTAAACACTAACTCCTTTTGCTTGGTTATTGTCTAGGTTCTGTTTGAGCAATTCCTGACATTGCACCGTTCCCGCCTTTTTTTTTTTGCATGACAAGTCCGTGTTTTTTTGTGTGGTTTATTATTTACTCGAAATTGTATCTGACTTGGGTGTGGGTTTTAGGTGCGCGAAGTGTTCCAGTCGGAGACGTTTCCGCAAGGAGAGAGCTCAGAGAAAGACTGAAATGTAAGAGCTTCCGATGGTACTTGGAAAATGTATATCCCGAATCGCAGATGCCTTTGGAATATTACTATCTCGGCGATGTAAGTTTTACAACACGAACGAACGAAGCGATGAGTGCTTTAAATGCCGTTTTAATAGATTCGCAATGTCGAGACGAAGAATTGTCTCGATACGATGGGTCGTAAATCGGGTGAGAATTTGGGCATGACTTATTGTCATAATTTGGGCGGGAATCAAGTTTTTGCCTATACTAAGCGCCAACAGATCATGTCCGATGACAATTGCTTGGATGCGAGTAATAAAAAGGGGCCGGTGAAGTTGGTGCGGTGTCATGGCATGGGTGGGAACCAAGCGTGGGCCTACGACGAAATGGTACTTTTTTCATTTGTTTTTTGGTGTTTTTCAAATTTTTTTTCGCAGGATAAGACCATCAAACATGTAAATACGGGGAGTTGTCTGCAGAGGCCCGACCCCAGTGACATGAATTTGCCACTGTTGAGGCCTTGCAATTACAATCAGGGTCAGCAGTGGATAATGGAGAGCGATTTTAAATGGCAAGCTCGGAATCATCACGAGGAAAGAAGATAGGCGTGAAAAAAAGCGTTGGCAACGTTATTCCTGATGGGTGCATTTAATTGAAACAATGATTATTTTTGTAGGTTTTATTAAAAGTTTCAGTATTTATTAATTCGACATTCCAAAATGGTTTAAATTCAAGGCTAACGTTGCCAACTTGAAAGTGATCGTTAAACGATCGTAACTCTTCCTAATTTTAAGACTTTGATGAATCTAAAATGCATATTATACATCTAAACAAGTTGTTATAACTGCCATTTGTACATAGAGCTAAAATGTGGGGTGAGAGCCCTTGATGAGTCGATATCTATCTTAGTTAGGTTTGTAAGAGGTGGACGTTATTTGTTTACAGGTCTACAGGGTTGATTTGTACAACGAACGAATTGAATAAATATGACTTCCTTCTCTTTTAGTCTAGCTGATGGAATCAAATAGCATATCAAAATGTGTGTAAAAATATCATTGTTTTTAGTTGTGGATTGATTTTTATATAGTGATTGCCATGACTCATTGTACATCGATTGTTAATTTATTTGATAATTTTAAGAGAACTTGTAATTAGTAGCAGCTATTCGCTCACGTTGTTAATTATTTTAGGCGATTCATACTTAAAATGTCTAAGTTTTAGGGATTAAGTTGGCCTCATACATATCCCACAATCAACTACCTATTTCTTTTAATACAAATCAAATTGTTAATACAACCGAAATTTTATAGGCGTAGGTGGTGGTGCAATCCATAGCTTGTATTACTCAAAAATTTATTAATAAACTATTGAAAATAATTTATTATATTTTGGTTTTTACTGAGTGTACCAACCTGACAATAATAAAAACCCAAGGTTGCCAAACAAATTGCAGTCAAAAATAGTGATATTTCACGAACATCAAAAAATGTAACAAATTCAAATTAGTTAATCAATTAATTTTTAAAATTTTTAATGTAAATTTGGGCTTAAAATGTTGGCCAAACATAAGATTTAAGTATAACGTAAAAAGGTTGGCTCATGTGAATTGACGTCATTGGAATGATGGTTTAAAAATATAAATTGCAGCAAAACTGTACCTCAATGATATAATATTTTGACTTAAACTTATGTAAAATGTTCCGTGGAATCGATTGGCGTTAAGAAAACTGAAAAATTCGTAATAGTCTTGAAGTTATAGACGTATTTATATTTTTGACTTTATCAAAAATAACACAGTTTTTGTACCAACCTGACAATAATCAAAACCCAAGGTTGCCAAACATTTATTTCACAAATTGCACTCATAAATGGTGACAATATTTTACGAATTAGTTGTTATTGTAAATTTGCGTTTAGAAATGTTGGCTAAACTGTGTTTTTGAACGATGCGCCCCCTAGTGTCAAACAAAAACCCATTCATTTTTAATGTTTTATTAAATAAATTAGTAATTTTCGTCATGTAAGTGCGCCCGAAATGAGTTTAAATTTATTCATCCGTGGCCCAATTAGTGCCTGCGTGAGAAAAACTCTCAAAAATCAACTCCACGATTATAGGTTATGTCACAAAAACTTTCAATTTTCATCTTGTTTGTGCACGAAAACTGAAAAGCAGCCACAAATTGAGCAAAATGCCTCCCCAACCGCCAAATTCCGTGGTAAATTACTAAACGGCCCTAACCTCAAAGACTTCTTCCGGGCGGAAAATTTAAAAGACCAGGAGAATCTCGTCGAGGAGCAGGTCGTGCCCTACTTACAGGACATCAATAGGTACGTCCACGTCTCATTTTGGGCCCCCTTAACCTCAATCTTCCAGATATGGCCAAAAACGCAAAGTTTATTTTGACGTTTATGGATGTCAAATGAATGTCAATGACACTGAAATAATCTGGTCGATTTTACAAAAACACAATTATCTCAAAACTGGAAACTTATTGGAGGCCGATGTCGTGCTTATCGTCACTTGTGCGATCCGCGAGGGGGCCGAGGCGAAAATCTGGGGGCGTTTGGAGTACCTCCGCGGGATTAATAAGACCAAAGCGGCGTTCAGTTCGCGTTTCAAGGTGGGGATTTTGGGGTGCATGGCCGAGCGCTTGAAACACAAAGTCTTGGAGAAGGACAAAACGGTGGATTTGGTCGCGGGGCCCGACGCCTATCGAGACCTCCCAAGACTGCTGGCGTTGACCGAAAACGACCAAAAATCCGTCAATGTCCTGCTGTCTTTTGACGAGACTTACGCCGACATCATGCCGGTGAGACTCAACGAGAACTCGGTCTCGGCCTTTGTGTAAGTCCCAACGTGGGGGGAATTAGTCTAATGTGGGGGCTTCCAGGTCGATAATGCGCGGGTGTGACAACATGTGCACCTATTGCATTGTTCCCTTCACGCGAGGCAAGGAGCGGTCGCGCCCCATCGACTCAATCTTGCGCGAAATTGAACAATTGGCGCAACAGGGGGTGAAAGAGGTCACTCTTTTGGGGCAAAATGTGAACAGTTATCGGGATTTGTCCAATTCGGGGGAGGTTTTTATTAATAATCACACGAATTTGGCCAAGGGTTTTAAAACTGTGTACAAGTCGAAAGTTGGCGGTCGCCGATTCGCCGACTTGTTGGAAAGAGTCGCCGATGTGAATCCCGAAATGAGGATTCGGTTTACGTCCCCTCATCCTAAGGACTTCCCCGATGAAGTCCTCCATGTGATAAAGTCGCGTCCTAATATTTGTAAAAATCTACACATGCCGGCGCAGTCGGGAAATTCGAATGTTTTGGAGAGGATGCGTCGGGGGTACACACGGGAGGCCTATATCGAATTGGTACACCATATCCGTTTTTTACTACCAGAAGTTAGCCTCAGTTCGGATTTTATCTGTGGTTTTTGTGGGGAAACAGACGAGGAGTTCGCAGATACAATCACTTTAATGGAAATCGTAAAGTAATTTTAACTATACAGGGTGGTAAAAAAAAATGACAGGCGCTATAGAATTTTTATTTATGGCCCGATTTCAAAAATTAAAAAAAATAATTAAATGGCTTTTAATCTAGTATAAGCTGACAATTTTAGAATGTCTCTAAATGTCATAGTTTATTTTGGACTACATTCGACTTTTTAATTTTAAATTAAAACCCTAATTTTTTTCTTCATAATTTGGAAGGTATTAATTTTCTTGGTGTGATATGTTTCACTTTTACTAGAAATATTGTTTAAAAAAATA